CTGGATGGTGTCTGCCTGACTCCTGCCTTTCTTCTCCCTGTTTCTCTCTTGGACTTCCTGCCTGGCTATGGCCTGCCTTGCCACAGGCCAGAGCAGCTTCTTTATTAGCCAATGGTAGCAACACATATTCACAGCGTGCAGAAAGACCATCCCATAGCATTTGGGAGACTAGAACATGTGAACTGGGGTGTTGTTTAACAAAGCCGTCTCTTGGTTTACAGGTCCTGCAGTTGTTGATCCTACTCTGAGGTAAGACAGACATAGTGCCTCCCAATTCAATCATGCAAAAATGGACATTTAAAAATTACAGGACTATAGTTTGTTTTTCAGTGTGCAAATTTGCTTGTCTTTATTAAATAGTTAAAAAAAATGAATCTCAGCCACTTGTGAAGGGGACAGACAATACTTATACTTACTGTAAAGAGAAAACTAGAGGATTTTTGAAAAAATAAATGAGTTTATTTACTGATTTTCTTTTTACATACTCTAAAATTAATTTTATTATTATTATTATTTTTTTTTCTTTTTGAGATAAGGTTTCTCTGTGTAGCCCTGGTTGTCCTGGACTCAGTCTATAGACCAAGTTGGCCTTGAACTCAAAGACATCTGTCTGCTTTTGCCTCTTGAGTGTTGGAATTAAAGGTGGGCACCATCACAGCCCCATTCATTCCACATCACTTTAAAAATAATGTTTTCTATATTAACGTTATTCCGGATATCTGGCTTTCACAGGCCATGCTTGGGTGTGCTGAGCGGGAAGTCTCACGCTCTAATCAGAGGGATTTTAGTGGTGCCTCTGAGCAAGCACTGAGGAGTCAGCCCGCCCCCCATCTCCCTCTCATCCCCCTCCCATTCCCCTCCCATCCCCCTCCCATCCCCTTCTCTGCCCCACCCCCCTACCCCCAGTGTCTTTAGGGAATGAGACATGTCATTGTGCCTCTGTCATGTGGAAAATCAGGTTGCCTGGTGACACACAGAGGTAAACATGAGCATGTTCCAACCTTTTGTCTTTTTATTTATTTAATCTGCCATTGTGTGTTTTAAGAGTCTGTTTTGCTTCTTTCTCTTTAAGAAAAAGAAAAGCTCGTAACAGTCTAACCAGCTACATCATTACCATTAAATTTATTTTGTTTTGCAACTTAGAAACCACCTACAGTATGGCCCACTTAATAAAACAAACAGGAAATGCCTTGTGTGAAAGGGGTTGTGGATGGTAAAAGTTTAAAAAGCTGGGCTAGGAGCATCTTCCTTGCTTTAGGATCCCCTTGCCACCTTCACATGAAATACTCACTCTAGTGTGAGTGAATGCCCAAGTGCTGATGTTTTACCAACACTGTGTACCTGGTCCCTAGGATCCATCCATGCTCTGCCCACTCTCTGGCAGAGTTATTACCTATTCGTCGTCTACCTGTCTATCTATCTATCTATCTATCTATCTATCTATCTATCTATCTATCTATCATCTCTCTACCATCTATCTATCTTCATCAAGCTGCCCTAGAAACCAGAGTTAAATCCAAAGGCTTAAGTCCATGGTGAAGCATTGTTTTCTCAAAATATTTCTCAAGAAGCTCACTTACTATCTACCACACAGGCGTGCGTTTGCCTTTTCCTGGTCCCCACAGGCCCCAGGGGGCTTTCACACCTGAAGGGTCCTTTTCTTGAATGTGCAGTCCTCAAGGGAACGTGAGTCTCTGTGTCAGTCCCTGGCGTGGCCTGTGTTAGTTCTGAGAGGTCAGGGCTAAGGGTTAAGTCCTGATAGCTGTTTTCCCAGTCTTCTGCTGCTTCTTGTTGAGGCCTCTTTCTGAAAATGATCGGTCAGTTTGTTGGTCTCTGAAAAACTGGATTTTTATAGATCGCTTAGAAATGGTTTCAGCAGACTTTATTTACTTAGTTTTATTTATTTTATGTGTATGAATGTTCTGCTCACATACACATGTATGTCTGTGCATGCACCATATGAATGCCAGATGCTGGATGAGGCCAGAAGAGGGTGTCTGATCCCAGGGATCTGGAGTTACAGATGGTTGTGAGCCTCTATGTGGGAACCGAACCCAGGTCCTCTGCAAGAGCAGCCAGTGCTTTTAAACACCGAGCCATCTCTCCAGTTCCCAGACTTCTGTTGCTGTTGTTAGTTGACTTGTTTTCATTTTGCTGACACATCCTTGGGGATCTGAAGTTCTGTTCTCAGAGTTCCGACTCCAACTGGTCCAGATCGCAGTGGAGGGGTCGGGAAACTACAGTTTTTTGTTTTGTTTTGCATTTTCACTCTGTTAGCATTCTTCATCTCTTTTTGCCGGAACATCTCTATTGTAGCCGGAAGGTTTCTGAGGTCCCGCCCAGCCCCCAGGTCCCATGTTCCTCTGGTCCCACCCAGCCCCATGGTCCCTCAGCCACTTATAAAATAATCATTCAGTGGCTTAAAATTATTTACAAACTGTATGGCCTATGGCAGGCCTCTTGCTAGCTAGCTCTTATATCTTAAGAGAAATTAACCCATTTCTATTAATCTATGCTTTGCACATGTTCCGTAGCTTTATTGATCTGCTGGCATGTTGCTCCTTGGGCGGCAGGCTGGCTCTCTCCAGACTCTGACTCTCTCTTTCTTGTCTCTCTCCTTGAATTTCCTGCCTGCCTCTAAGCTGCCTTGCCGTAGGTCAAAGCAGCTTATTTATTAACCAATGAGAACAACATATATTCACAGCGTACAGAAAGACATCCTCCAGCACTCTGTGATTACAGTGATTGGGTAGAACTCCTATATCTTTTGTTTCTGTTTAAATTACTGGTACTGTAACAGGCCCCCAGACCTTAGCACAACTGATGCCATGATGGAAGTACCATTCAGGCTTTGGAACCCAGCATGTAGGCAGCACCACCTGCCAAAAAGAGAACCCAGACCTGAGCAGTCAAAGTCCATAGTTCTGGGGAAGCCTCTAATGTACCAACCTTGCCTTTTGGCTTCTAGAGTTCCACTTCTGGCTAACTGCTCTTGCTATTGAGATGTGTCAACACAAGATGTGGCTTTTGTGCTTGAGAGGCTCAGACTTGTGCTTGGATCCCTAACACCTAGTGTAGTGACTAACAAAGACTTCCATGGGCTTGGACCCGTGTCTGAGAGGTCTTCTCTGGTGGATATCTCATAACATTACTGGAAATTTGGGGGATTCCTTCCAGAGTCTCCACATGGGGAAATCTGGGTTTCCATTGGGATTGGATTCTTAGTCATGTTTATAAAAGGATTTAAGATGGGCTTTAAAAAAGTGCAAGAACAATTTTATGAGAGCTTAAAAGAAAAACTTCAGGACAGACGAGCTGTGAATCTCAGCAGCTGCCCAGAAGGGAAGACAGAGGAGAGAAAGAGAAAACTTTCGTGATTTAAGTCAGCCCAGAGGTCAGCCACACGGGGGACAAGCAGCCACGTTGTAGCGGGGAGCCGTAGAGAAAGAGCTGAGCCTACCGTACTAGGAAAGGAAGGCCTGCTTAGGCTCTGACCAGCATCGGGAAGCAAAAGGCAGAAGGGGAGAAAATGGAAGTTTTCCCGAGTCAGGATTAAATACATTTACAATAATTTCATCAGTACCGTTAACAAAATGCGGTGACGAGGGAGTCTTCGAAACCAAGGCCGGCGCATAGGAGCAACAAACCGCTGCCCCTGCCCCTCCGTTAGTTAGAAATGGGTTCCTTCCCTACTCACCTACACGTTAATAGCCACCTCTAAAGCTGTGCCTTTGGGGGAAGACAGTCATTTCCACGTTCCCGTTTTAGAACTTCCCGGAGCCCTTTTAATTCCTTTCATTCAAATCCCCAAAGCTTTGTCACTCGCAAACCCCGGCTGCATTAGGGCTCCTTGTTAAGTTCTAGATAATGTTTGAAGACAGTCGCAGCCCGTAAATATCCCGTCGGCCACACTCTCACCCTTCCCCAGCCAGCTCCCAGCCCAACTAGTCAAGGAGATCTAGAGTCAGCGGTGAGTGAAATACACACATGCCGTGGTGTGCTCTCTCTTCTTAAAATGACACTTACTTTTTTAGTGTGTGTGTGTGTGTGTGTGTGTGTGTGTGTGTGTGTGTGTGTGTGTGTGTGTTTGCGGGGAGCACTGTGCCTGCTTTGGCACAGGCGTGGAGGTCAGAGGACAACTCTTGGGAGTCTCTTCTCTCCTCCTACCGTGTGGATCCCGGAGACTGGACTCAGATCATCAGGCTTGGTGGCCAGTGCCTTTACCTGCTGAGCCATCTCCCCGGTTCCTGTTTTTGTTTTTGAGACAGAGTCTTGCTGTGTAACCCAGGCTGTTCTCAGACTTGTCATCCTCCTGTCTCTGCCGCCTTAGTGCTGAGATTCTATGTGTCACCATACCTGGCAATCTGAAAGATAAACTTTTAAGAGAAGGTAGAGAGGTACATCAGTTGGTGGGGTACTTGCCTACATGCATGAAGCCCTGGGTTCCCACACACCAGTGATTCCTGTTCTTTGGGTAGAGGCAGGGATACCAAATGTTCAAGGTCTGGCTGGGGAGATGGCTCATTGGACACAATGCTTACCGACCAAGTACAAGTATCCCATTTTGGATTGCCAGCACCCTCAAAGTCAGGCCTGGTGGTGTGTTTCTGTAACCTGAGCTTTGTAGAGACAGAGACAAGTGGATCCAGGAAGCTTACTGGCCAGTGAGCTCCAGGTTCATCGGAAGACTCTGGAAAAATAAGGCAGAGGAAGATGCCCAACATTGACCTCTGACTACTATACATGTACGTATGAGCAAGTGCATGTGGACATATACATGCAAACACACATTCACCACACACACACACACACACACACACACACACACACACACACACACACACACAATGAATAAATAAAATAGAAACAGAGATCAACATCATCTTCAGCTCCATATCAAATTCCCAGTCAGCCTGGAATATGTAAGTATGTAAGATCTGTTTTTTTTTTTTTTTTTTTTTTTTGTTTTAAAGCATGAGGAAAAAGGTTTCTTAGACTGCATGGGAGTCTTTTTATGTTTCAGGAGAAGAATTGAACCGCAGGACTTTGAGGTCTTCTTCGACCCGAGGGAACTTCGCAAAGAGACCTGTCTGCTCTACGAGATCAGCTGGGGCGGAAGGAACAGCGTCTGGCGGCACACGAGCCAAAACACCAACAAACACGTTGAAATCAATTTCATAGAAAAAATGACTTCAGAAAGATACTTTTCTCCATCCACCAGGTGCTCCATCATCTGGTTCTTGTCCTGGAGTCCCTGTGGGGAATGCTCCAAGGCCATTATAGAATTTTTGAGCCGACACCCCAATGTGACTCTGTTTATTTATGTAGCCCGGCTTTATCACCACATGGATCAGCGAAACCGGCAAGGACTCAGGGACCTTATTAGCAGAGGTGTGACTATCCAGATCATGACCGAGCAAGGTAAAAACCGAGTGTTCGTGAGAGTGGTGATGGTGTCGGTGATGCTGGGGTGAAATCCCAGAGGTGAAAGTTCAACATAAAGCGAAGCGGGGAACCAGGTCTCACCTTCACAGCAAAGGATTCATGAGCAATAGTAACTCGTTCCTCTACTCCAGGCACCTCTGCCCCCAGCCACCTTAAATGAACTTTTTCGGGAGCGTGATCACCTCTAGCAGCAAATAGGCAGAGTCTTTACATAGTGCGCATGCTCTGTGGTTGTTGCTCCTGGGACTTGAAGCCGAAGCCTTGCACGTGCTAAGCGTACGTGAGAGGCAAGCGAGAAACTACTGCGCTACATCCCTGATCTTTAGTGCTTATTTCGACAGGGTCCTACTCTGGACTTGACACGTAGCTCAGGCTAGCCTTGACTTTGCAGTTTTCCTGCTTCAGCCTTCTGAATGAATGATTGCAGGCATGAACCACTGTGCCCAGGTAGTTTTAAATAATTTACCACGGTATTTGTGAAATGAACCAAATTGTGTGTTTCTTAGAGTACTGTTACTGTTGGAGGAATTTTGTCAACTACCCACCTTCAAATGAAGTTTATTGGCCAAGGTACCCAAATCTGTGGATGAAGCTGTATATACTGGAACTCCACTGCATCATTCTAGTGAGTGACTTTGGCTTTTTGTTTGTTTCTGTTTTGAGACGGGGTCTTCTATAAGCTGTCCTTGAACTTGCTGTGTAGTAGAAGAGGACCTTGAATTCCTGATCCTCCTATCCCCACCTCCTGAGTCCCGGGATTATAGTCTCATGATACTACGTCTGGCTCCGTAGTAATTACCTCCTCTTCCTCTTTACGAGCGTCTCTGGGTGTCTTTATGAATGGCTGCAGTGCCATCCAGTGTGCAGGTGCCTGCAGAGGACTCCCCGCCCCCCCAGCCCCAGCTGGAGTTAGAGGTGGCTGTGAGGCAGCTGAGGTGGGCGCCGGGAACTGAACTCTGGGTCCTCTACGGGAGCAGTCTGACCCTGTATCCGTTACTTTGTATTGCTGTGGTAAACATCATGACCAAGTGCGGCGGAGAGGAGGGAGGGTTTACTTTGGCTGACAGATCCTGAGGTAGAGTTCTGTATGTAACGTTGGGGAGGCAAGGTAGCGGGTACAGAAAGCTGAGAGATTAGATCTCAGCCCCCCCAGGTAGGAGCCAGGAGAGAGCTAACTGGAACTGGGGAGGGGGGGGTGACTATAAACTCTCAAACTTGCTCCAGTGAGTGATATATCTTCTGAAACAAGGCTTCATGGCCTCAAAGCTCATGAGCTTCCCAAACCATGCCACCACCAGACACCATGTGGATATTTCATCCAAACCACCAGTGTCCTCAACCACTGGACTGTCTCTGCAGACCCTCTCATAAGCGGCTTGCCTGCCTGCCTGCCTGCCTGCTTGCCGATCTTCCTTCCTGCCTGCCTTTTTCTTCAGGGTCTCGCTATATAAATAACTCACAGAGATCTGTCTGCTTCTCCTCCCAATGCTGAGACTAGGGTGTGCCCCACTCCCGGAATCTTTCTTGCATGTTTATTTAAGGAGTGGGGTGGGGGCAGACCAGAGCCCTGACAAGCTCTCCCCAGCAGCCCTGACAGACGCCAGGCCTTAGTTTCAGTTTCGATTTACTGGAACAGGGCTGGAGCTGAGCAAGCCGGTTTTCAGGGAAACCACTACTCAGGGGCAACCAATCAGCAAGCATCCCTCAGCCTCCTGCTGCTCAGCAGGTGCCCTTCTGCCTCGGGCTGGCTCAGCAGACTCCCACCAGACTTCTGCTAGCTAAAGATAGCTTTCCCTACCCTGCCGCTGGAAAGTCCATAACCACGTTAGAGTCTCTGACCAAGAAAACCCCAAAATAATCTTTCCTCCACGTATCAGCCCCAGACTAACCCCTCCTCCCTGCAAGTCCCTTAACTCTGCTTAAAAGGAGCTTACAACCTGCTCCAGGGTCGCCATTTGCCAGCCCAACATGTTGGCAGGTTTTTAATAGCCACTTTAGCTGATTGCATATGTGACCGGCGGTCTTCTTTAGGACTCCTCTCAGACCCTAACACAGGCAACAATTTTGCTGCAAAAAGAAGTATCCTTTTCTGTGTTTCTCTTCTGAGGATTTTCCCATATACTCTCATCACATTCTTTTTTTTTTTTTTTTTTTTTTTTTTTGCATTTATACTTAAATTTGGTTATTTAACTAGCTAACTCATCTTAAAATGAGAAACAAGATAATCTGAAATCAGACATGATGACACACGCTTGAAATCCCAGCACTCAGGAGGCCGAGTCAAGAGGACCCTGAGGGGTTGGGATTTAGCTCAGTGGTAGAGCGCTTGCCTAGCAAGCGCAAGGCCCTGGGTTTGGTCCTCAGCTCTGAAAAAAAGAAGAAGAAGAAAAAAAAGGGGATCCTGAGTCCAAGGCTAGCCTGGGATATAAATCTAGTCTGTGACTCCAAAATCCTCCCCACCACCGCCAAAACCAGCCTCCTTCAGTGGGAAGCAGGTAGGGGGAGGAAATGGGTCAGTCAGTGTAAGGGGTGTCTGGGACACACAGTGATTCCGTTTTATCCTTCTCATCTCGGTCACACACCTCAGGGTTCCAGGCTGTCTTGTTTCCCCTAGAGGCGGAGGCCAGTCACACTATGGAAGAAAATGTGCCTCGTTTGGATTCTTGTCCAAACGGCAGCTCAACTGAATCCCAATAAACATTTTTAAATGTTCACAGTAATAATAGTGTTAATTGTTACCGAGGATAAAATAAAATCTTCTTTGTTTCAGGGACTTCCGCCCTGTTTAAAGATTCTAAGAAGACACCAACACCAGCTTACTTTTTTCACACTGACTCTTCAAGGTTGCCACTACCAGAGGATTCCACCTCACATCCTTTGGGCCTCAGGGTTGATATGACCTCTGGGAGTTGGAGATGAATAAAATGACTCTTTGTATGTGTACTGTTTTGACAGACAGCAAGCCATGATGACCCACTAAAAAGCGACTGCCATGAAGAATCTAGAAATCGAGCTGAGGCTGACACTCTTGGGTAGAGTACTAGTTATATGTGTGAGGCCCTGGGTTCAATGCCCAGAACTTCCAGGAAAACAGAGAGAATCTAGAATTGAGCCAGGTATGGTTAATTACAAGATCACACTCCTGGAATCCCAGCACCAGGGAGGCAGGGGCACCAGATCTCTGTGAGTTCAAGGCCAGCCTGGTCTACATAGTAAGACCCAGGCCAGCCTCAGATTACACAGTGAGACCTTGTCTAAAAAACCAAAATCCAGAATCTAGGAATTGAAGACTTGAGTAAGGTGGTGCATTCCTATAATCGAAGTAATTGAGCGGTAGAGGCAGGAGAATGACAAGTTGAAAGTCATCTTGAGCTACACAGTAAATTTGAAGCCAGCCTCAACAGATATGAACTTCAGTGTGCCAAGTCCTTCGAGTTATGCCAGCAGCCACCACCTCACCAGCTTGCATAACAGAACCACTCAGACCAGCTCATTCGCTTGCCTGCTTGCCGCTCCCAAGACTGTCATGGCATACAACAGCCCCTGGGCACTGGAAGAGGCTGGACCGTACTAAATTCTGACATTTACATTTTGAAAATTGTGTTTATTTATTATTATTATTGTGTGTGTGGAGGGGGTTGTGCGTGCATACCATGGCACCCCTGTGGAGGTCACAGAGCAACTTTTAGGGTTCTCTCTCTCTTTCTACTATTCATTCTGGGGAATGATGAAGATTGTCAATTCAAAAAAGTGATTTGTTATTATTATTTTTTTTTGCCCCTGAGCTGTCTCCACAGTCCTATATCTATACATTAAAAAACTGCAGCGAAAGATATCATTTATCAAGTGTTATTGTGTTTGTTTGGCTCCCAGGACCTACTGGAGTTTGTCTGCGAGAAAAATGAGGAACGGATGTTAGTCCACGTGGGGATTAGGGGTTCCCACCTCCTTAGAGCCAAACTCAGCATTTTCTTGCTTTGGTTTGTTTCTATTTTGAGACAGGGTCTCAAAAAGCTTCCAATTCACTATGTAGTCATGGATGACTTTGAACTCCTGAGCCTCCACATTTTTGTCTTTTATTCATCCACCTGTCCATCTGGGATCTGGAACTTGGCCATGGTCTCTCTCTCCAGCCCACGCTGGCTTAGCTTCTCTCTCTCTCCAGCTCACTCCGACTTGGCTTCTCTCTCTCTCTCCAGCCCACTCCGACTTGGCTTCTCTCTCTCTCTCCAGCCCACTCCAACTTGGCTTCTGCTCTCTTCCATGTCTGCTGCTTCTTGTCACAGAAACTCTTCAGGCTTTGAGCACATTCTCTTGACTCCAGTTTCACACTTCTGTCTTGAAAGACATCACAACTGTATCATCGCTTGTTCTTATAAAAAGGTTTGTATTTAGGCACGGTAGTATACCCTCTGATCTCCGTACTCCAGAGGCTGAGGCAGGAGGACCATGAGTCTGAGACCAGCCCTTGGGCTACCTACTGAGACTCTGTTGCAAACAAACGACCAATCTAACAGAAGAGGGAGCAGGGAGATTGCTTAGTGGGCAAAGGTGTAACACAAATTGCTAAATGGTCTTATTAATAAGAAACCCAGAGCCAGATATTGGGGTAAAAGCTGAACGATCAGAGAGACAGAGCAGCCAGCCACTAGTTCTTATCCCCATGAGATCCTCTCTCCCTATGAGCTCCTCTCTCCACCCTGTTTTATCACTTCCTCTCTCTGCCCAGCTCTATCACTTCCTGTCTGTCTGTACAGACCTCCAGACCTCTATGGTTAACTAGTGGCTAGCTCCTCCTTCTGATTTTCAGGGAAGCTTTATTTGTTAGAGCACAAATAAAATATCGCCACACAAAGGCCCTACAAAGCCAGGCAGAAAGCCAGGCAAAGTGACTTGTGTCCGGGATTAACGAAACCAAGGACTGTGGACTGAAATCTCTGAATCCGTGAGCTGAGATAAATCCTTCCTCTTTAAATTGCTCCTCCCAGACACTCTGTCACAGTGAAGAAAATAGTGACAGTGGGAAGCAAAGACATTTCAGCAGGTAAGGGATGAAGTCACTTCCCAGGTGCCCTTTCTCAGGGAGTATTCGGAGGGTTTACTACATTAACCCAAGGAAGGGGGAATTACTGGAAGTCAGGACACAATTCAGACAGAAGGGAAAAACAAAATCCCCAGCAGGACAGTGAAAGAGCAATAACAGGATAATGTAGCCGCAGAAAATAACTGTGGAGAGCTCCCGTGAGATTAGAGATGTGCTCTGGGTGCATCTTCGAAGGTGTTTCAGAAGATTCAACAGGGCATGAAGACCGCTTAGCTGGTGGAACTGGAGGAGACAACCAGCATGTGAGGGCATCTTCCTTCTGCTCCCTACTCCCTGGTGTGAGCTGCTGGGCTCCACCACACCCTCCCCACCACAGCACACTGAACCTTTACAACCGTGAGTCAAAGTGAAGCTCTCCTCACTTCAAGTTGGCCTCGGGCATTTGGTCACAGTGATAATAAACTTAATAAAGGAGTCACTCAGCTTAGCGCAAGGCATCGAAGTGATACAGAGAGAATACATTTTTTGAAGATGAAATTAAGCTGGGCTTGGATAACAATACCAGTAACTCTGTAGCCTAAGGCAAGATGATCTTAAGTTCAAGCCTGGCTTGGGCTACAGACTGAGTTTAAAGCCAGCCTGGGCAACTTAGTGAGACTGTGTCTAAAAGTAAGGAGTAACAAAAAGGCTCGGAATGGAGGCCTGTGGTCAAGCATTTATCTGGACTTTAAATTTAATGATTTCCTATATGTTTGGCAGTGTTAAGCATCACCAGTATTTTTTTGTTTGTTTTGAGACACGGTCTCTTTATGTAGTCTTGGCTGTTCTAGAACTCCCTCTGTAGACCAGGCTAGCCTTTAGGTCAGAGATCTGACTGCCTCTGCCTCCTGAATGTTGGGATTAAAGGAGTGTACCACCACCACCTGAATAATTAATGTAGTCTTTAATCTCCCCTCGTAAATAGCATTTTGAAGTAGCCCTCAGCTTCCTGGGTTCAAGTATGGAAAAATGGATGGTTAGAGTTAGCTTGGTAAACTGTAAGATAATTTTTCAGAGTTGCTAAGTTTCTATCAGATGATAGGGATTGTCCCAGGGTCCTGCAGAGACAAATGTTCTACCATCTAGCTACACCACCAATCCATACTAGAATTTTCAAAATGTCCCTAATGAAACCAAGAAAGAAAAAAATAGCTCTTGTGTATTATGTCAGTCACTGTTCTAGTGCTGTGAAGAGGCACATGATCAAAGCAATTTTTTTTTTTTTTGAGATAGGATTTCTCTGTGTAGCCTTGGCTGTCCTAGAACTAGCTCTGTAGACCAGGCTGGCCTCAAATTCATAGAGATCCACCTGCCTCTGCCTCTCAAGTGCTGGGGTGAAAGGTGTAAGCCGCTACCCCGCCTAGCCCAAGCAAACTAATTCTTCTGAAAGAAAGCATTCAACTGAAAGCTTGCTTACAGTTTCATAAGTTTAGTTCTACAGTTTCATAAGTTTAGTTCCTTATCATAGAGGGGAGCATGGTGGCAGGCAGGCGGGCACTGGAACTTGTAGCTGAGAGCTACATCTTGATTCAAACATGTTTTGGGATATATGATAACACTGTGAACCCTGAGTTTTCATTTGCATTAGTGAAATAAAATCAACCTTGGTTCAGGAGGAGGAGCGAGGCCAGCAACTAGTTGACAGAAAGTAATCATAGAGAGTTAGGGGGTGTCTGGAAGATGGATAGAGAGACGTACAGGAAGTAGTAGGGAGGGACTTTGAGTGGGGCAGTCTTTTTGGTTTGGCAGAGCAGAAGGATGCTCTTTTTTGGAGATGACAGCAAAGAGGGAATGTCAGCTAGTTGGTCCTCAGCCTCTCTGAGCTAGCAGGTTTTCACCCCAGCCTCCAACTCCCAAGTCTTATCGATAAACAGAATGATAGAGATTTAGTTAAAACTACATTTGGTGGCAGGGGCAGGAGGTGGATCCAGCAGGACATAAAAGTCCCACCCGGCTGCTGCCAGAGAAGTGGGCTGGAAGCTGTGGAGCTGTAATTACTGGCTGGAACAGCAGTAGATAGATTCAGGAGAAGCTGCTGGGCCAGGGATAACACAAAGGCATAGACAAAGAGAGACTGTGCCTGGTCTGGGCTTTTGAAACTCCAAAGCCCAATCCCAGCGACACACCCATTCCAGCAAGGCCACGCCTCTAATCCTTTCAAATAGTGTCACTCCCTGATGACCAATCACTCAAGTCTATGAGCCTATGGGGGTCGTTCTTATCTAAACAACCACAGGGATGTAGATCAGTGGTACAGCACTTGTCTAGCTTGTGTGAGGCCCTGGGTTTAATTCCCAGAACCACAAAAAAAAGATAGATAGATAAAAAGAAAAAGAAAAGAAAGAGAAAAGAGAATGAAAGAAAGAAAAGGCAAAAGGGAGAGAGAGAAAGTGTCCTTCCCTCTGCCTTCTAACATGTGATATTCCCGTGTACCCTCTTCTTCCCTGCCACGTGTCTTAAAATAGTAATATCCATCCATTACCACTCTTCATCTTTTTATTCACAGCACCCACATTTGACTCCATTATTCCTAAAAGTTTGACATCTATTACATGCTTCCCCCACCTTTTTAGTTTTTGCTACATTTTAAAAACAGAATTAATTCATTTTACTTTTCTGGTATATAAGGGGCTGTAGTAGCCCCAGCTAGAGCCTGGATCTTCTGAACAAGGCACTCGGGTGTGAGTTTTCACAAGGTGGTCAGTGAATTCCTGATAGGGAGACTTAGTGGACCTTCTCTTTGCAGAGGACAAGGTTGAGTAGTCATAGGTCTGGAGATGCATCAAAGATGGCGTTGGTGAAGTTACCCAGGGTGGGGGTGAATCAATACCGGCTGGTCAGCAGCTCTTGGGGCATGGGAACAGAGATGATCCCAGTCCCTCTGGGGGCAGGGATGAGGGGTGCGAGCACAGAGCCACAGGGCTAGTCATCTTGCACAGGATTGTGTGGAACTTACCAATCTTGTTACTTCGGTGACATCAAGACCAACATAACCATTGTAGTCCCCAACAGTGACAAAAGCCTTAAACCTGGTCCACTGGCCAGCCCGAGTCTGCTTCTGCACTGGCATGATCTTTAGAACCTCATCCTTCAGGCATGCTCACGAAAAAGCCAACAGTCTCAGATTCCTTGGTGGGCAGGGAAAACAGGCAGATCTCCTCCAGGGACTTGGTAGTCCTTGACCAGGTGGCCCAGCTTGGTGATGGGGATTCACTCCTTGTTTTTGCCACTGTGCCCTCCCAAACCTGGGTCCCTGCTGTATGTGAAGATGCTCAGTAAAGAAACTGTTGAAGGCTGTGGGAGGCTCCCAAACAGCTTGACCAGACAGCTGCCATGCAGGCTTGAGGCCCAGACACAGCTTCTGGCAGACCCCACCCAGTGGGGCCTGTGTCTAAGGGGAAATACCTGAGGCCCAGACACAGCTTTTGGCAGGCAACACCTGGACCCAGGAAGAGTCATAAACTGACCCCACCTGCATCTAAGAGGAAATACCTGACATTCCAAACGTTCCCTATACCCCTAGACAAATGTCAGACAATTAGGGTCCTGAACCCTGGAAATCCCCTCACCCCAACCTCTGCTATGATAGAAACCCCACCCTGCCTGGGCTCTGGGCTCTCTGTTCTCACCACTGCGTCAGACAGAGAGATCAAGCTCGGAGCTTGAAGAGAATAAAGGCTCTTTGCTTTTATATGTGGGATTCGTTCTCCATGGTGGTCTTTTGGGGATCCCCGA